GCGGAGGAGGAGGAGGAGGAGGAGGAGGAGGAGGCGATACACCACAAATTGACAGGCAAGGCCAACGGGCCGGGAGAGAAGGGCCACCCGCGACGAGGCTACGGGCCCCGCGGCAGCGACGCCGACCGGGCGATCAGGCGGCGCAGGCGTGGCGATGGAGTGGGCGGTGGGCGTCGAAGGGGGGGTGGGGTAGTCTGCAGTTTTCGGGAAGGACCCTCGGGGTCGTCGGGGGGCGGCGCGGGGTGGCAGACCGAGCCCAGCACGCTGCGGCTTGGTGGGTGGGGGCCCTCAGGTGGCAGTACAGTCCCAGGCGGCCCACGTGCCGTGCCCATCTGGCGGCTGCTTGCTGTCCACGGTACGCCAGCAAAACGCTCGCCCCAGAAAGCCAACGAAGGAACGAACGACGATCGGATCCCATCGCGGCCGCCCCTGCCCCAGCGGCCACCCCCGCCGCAGATCCGCTGGCTGCTTGCTGCGCTGTGCTGCTCAATTTCTAATCCTCCCTGATATCTCCGCCCTCTCGGGGCGCACAGCCCGTGAGACTCGACCTTGCCTGACAGGGCCGTCAGAAACAATGGCGGGACCTACCATGACACCAGACGCGAACTCCCGCTGCAAAAACCTCTCGAACACTGGAGCGACGCCTGCCGCGCTGCCATGGTCGGCCCAGAGCAGCTGCTGTCAGCAGTCAGCGAAGGGACCTCCTTCGACGTCGGGGTCTGGCTAGAAACCGACCGGCCACATCTGGGGGAGATGTGTTGCTTACCCTTTGGGGGGGCCAGTCCCATCGACGATCCCTCAATGGGGGTGCCGAAACCGACGGGCCCTCCACGGGGGTTAAGCATCGCAGGTCCCCCGATCCCGGACCCCCAGCGTCGCACTTTTTCGCATTGCAGACCCCCAGGAGGCATCGACCACACTTCCCAAGGATGGCTTTTAATCCTGAGTCTTTCTTTGGTGATCCCAGGGCAGAATAAAGGCCCCCGGACGTTTCCCAAGGGCGGTGAGGACCGCACCCTCCCAATCTCAGTCAGCCTGCGTCGTGATTTTCCAATACGGGGTATCTGGAAGCATCGACCTTTACCCACGGCATTTTTTGAATCCTGAGTCGCTTCGTAATCTTCCTGGAACCCCGAAATGTCTCGGTGCTTAGCTCCACGACCAAGATTCTCACAACGCTCGCTCACCGCCGGCCGTCGTGGGGTGTCTCCCCGTTCTGGAGAAGCTCCAGGGGACCTGGGCATTCTATCCTACCCCTCCTCCTCCTCCGCCTCCGCCTCCTCCTCCTCCGCCTCCGCCCCCTCCCCCTCCTCTTCCTCTTCCTCCTCCTCCCCCAGTTTCCTGATTGCATGAGGGTGCTTCGCACGCTGCCACTTTCCTCTTCCTCCTCCTCCTCCTCCAACTCCTCGGCCTTCCCCCTCCTCCGTCTCCTCCAACTTGTGGCCGGCTCTAAAAGCAAAAAACTTGACAGCAGACCCAGACCCCCCGCGCCGTGATCTTTTCACAACCTGGCCCTCCAGAAGTTTCGACCGCTTCCCCAGGACTGGTTTCTCATCCCGAGTTGCTTTCTGACGTTCCCCGAACCAGTTAGGACTCCCGCAAGCCGAGCCAACATCGGTCCGTCGTGATTTTGGTCACGGCACGATGGGCTGGGGATCGGGCGAACTCGGAAGGGACTACCTATACACTTGGGTTCCCTTCGAATTTTTCAAGACTCTGGGAGGCCAAACTAGGCCCGCGTGCGTAAGGCGTGCGTGTGCGGTCGCTGGGCGTGCTTCAGTGTGGTCGGAGGCGGCCGAGGGGTCGTCTGACCTGGTTGGGGCTCGAGAAAATCGGTCAAGAGGGGGGATGACGCCAAATCCGCCCAAAATCGACCTCTGGACCCCTCCTAGAGTCCATCTGGTGTGGTTTTTCACCCCTGATAAATTTTTGACAGTTCCGGGGCCCGAAAACGGCCGCCGCACGCCGAAATGGCCCAACTCGTCGAGCCCAACACGTCGAACCTCGCCCCCTGCCTGCTCGCTGGAACCAGAGTGACTGGGCAACCTCAGACCTCCAGCGGGCTCCAAATTTTGGGCATGGCTTCAAGGAGTTGCGCAGGTGCCCCTGAAAGGACCAAAAGGGAACCCAACTGTGCACCGACGCCTGCGGCCGGGCGCCCCGCGTGGCGGGGGCGGTCGGCCGCCCGGCGGCGACGCGGGGGCTCACTCTCAGTAGAAGGCGGGGGCGTCGAGCGACAGGAGGCTCCGGACCTCGGGGGGCGGTGTGGGGGGGGGGCAAGCGGCGGGAGGGGGGGGGGAAGGAGCGGAGGAGGCGGGGGACCGGGGGGGGGCTGCCTGCTGGGGGGGGGGGGAGCGGAGGGGGCGGGGACGGGGGCGGGGCTGTTGGGGGAGGGGGGGGAGCAGAGGGGTCGGGGGACGGAGAGGGGAGAAGGGGGGGGGGGGGGGCGGGAGCGGGGAGGAAGTGGACAGGAGGGAGGAAACGGAAAGGGGGGGGTGGGGAGAGCGGAGGGGACGGGCGGCGGGGACGCGCACCCAGTGACAGGAGCGAAATCGGATGCCTGCCGCCTCCCCCCACTGCCCGGCCGCGGGCCGCGGGCATCACTGTGCTGGGCAAAACCGCTCCCGCACAAGCAAAGTGGCTCCCGGCACGGACTCGCCATCGTGGAAAGGGGGCGGAGCGGGGGGAGATTGGGAGGGGGGGGGAGATGGGATGAGGGGTGGGGAGGTGGAGGTGGAGGGCTCCCACCTCCCCGATCCCTCCTTCCCCGTCCGCCTTCTCGTCCCTGCCCCCTCCCGCCCTTCTCCCCTGGCCGTTCTCGCTCTCTCCCCGCCCGCCCGGCCGTCCGCCCCTGACTCCCCGAGGCCCTCTGGAGCCGCCTCGGAATGTCTTGACTGCAGCCTCTCGCGCCCCCCTCCAGAAGCCGGCCCCTCGACCCTTACCTCGAGGCGCGCGGATCAGACGCGGATCTGGCCGCGGCGAGGAGGGCTCCGCCAAACTCGGAGTCGGCGATGCACCGCCGACAGATCGGCGACGCGCCCTCATTCGCGGACTCACGCTCCTGGGCAGGTTGTGGCCCCCTGGGCCCCGCTGGGCGACGAACGGGCGATCGGGGGTCGATGCCCCCGGGGGAGGGCGGAGGGCAGAGGGGGGGGGAGGGGGGAGGGGGGAGGGTCAGCCTCCCCCAGACGTTGTCCCTGGCTTTCGGGGCACAGCCTGGCTCTCCTGGCGGGTGTTCGGGATGATCCGGGCGCCCCTGGCGCGCCCTCGGCGAGGCGCAGCTGCTGGAGCGCACTCCAAGGCTGGAGCACCGCCGAGAACCACCGAACATGTAATACGACCTCGAACCTCGACCCCCCCCCCCGTGGAAGGTCTGCGGAGATCTCTTGGAACGGCGCTGAACCCCTCCCTCTCTGGAGCGCGCCAGGAGCGGCGCCAGAGGCGCCGCCAGGGGGGGGCCCAGCGTCAATCCTGGAAACCGTGGCTGGCGTTTGACAACTTGTGTATCATGTGCTTTCTTTCTCCTTCGGCCCTGGCAGACGTGAGCTGGATCTCGAATCGCAAGATCGGATTGGGTCGGGCACGCATCGGATCGCCAGCGACTCGGATCGAAATCGGATCGCCGCGCCCAGCTCGGGTTAGCCCTGGCCGATACAATGGAGGCCAGTCCACAAGAAACCTTGCACAGGAGACCCAACCCTGAGACCCCAGGACGTCCATTGATTCTCGGTGTGGGAACGGAACGTCACGCTTTTCATAGCGAAACCATCGAAACCCAAGAAACTCAGGGCACCCTGGAGGCGAGCAAGGTGTTTCTTGGCATGGGTCTCCACTGTACCAATGCATCGAACCGAACCGAGTCGGAATCGCGGCCTCGGCTGGACAATCAAGTCGCATCGCATCGGGTCGTAGACGGCCCCGCCTGGGCCAGCCCCTCCCCGCCGTCCCAGATATGCGATGTCCTGTTTTTTTCAGTGCGCGGCCCCAGGAAGTCCCGACCTTTTCGCCAGAGCTGTTTTTTCGTTCCGAGCTTCAGGTCGGGCATGTCCTCCTACAGGCGGGTTTTGGACGGAAAACGAAAAATACGCAAACATGCTAAAACAAATCGTCCCTGGAGTATTTTTTGACTATTTTTGAATGCTCCTCCTCTAGAGGGACACGCCCGACTTGAGCCGAGCTGATTTTTGACGGCCCCGCGGCCCGGTCAGGGCCCCAGAGGCCGTCCTGATCCTTCAGGACCTTGACTACGCCTACGACTACGCCTACGACGATTCAGGCAAGGGCCTCTACATGAAGCCGTGCCATGGCGGTAGCAACCAGAAGTGGTACTTCTCGTGAGGCGTTGTTAGCATGGCCAGCCTTCTGCTCTGGGCTGAGCACCTTCAGGACCTTGCATTTCTGGGGTGCCCCTGGCCCAGTCCACGAACAGCTTCAGCAGGCTGAGGCGTTGGGAGGGGGGGCCGCCCCAGGGCTTAGAGCTCCACCTGGCTCAAGGGGCCCAAGGCCACACACACACACACATAAATACACACAAGTAACAATATTCCCTATCTTTTCCGATATTTTCTGGCTTTTTGTCTTCCCGCCCACTTCCCATATTTTCCTTTATTTTCTTGGGGATCGACGATTAATTGTGTCTGTGGGTTTTGTTTTCCCTCCTGAATGGCGCGGTGGTTCAATCTTCGTGCCACTTGCGCCACCGCGGAGAAACCAACAGGTACCGATACCGCTGCTCCCCAGACCTCTCTTGGAGGGCGTTCTGACTAGAACAGCGAGGCGAATCCAGGCGGTGGCGACGAGGGCCTCCCAGGAGCCCCCCGAAGGCGAAACCGAGGGAGGGTAGCGGTACAGGCGGGGCTGATTGCACAGGACACGCGACTCGTCCGACGGTAACATGGCCTCCAGAAGACCATAGGGCACAAGGGTACCCTTGCCCTGCGAACGCAGAGGGCGCGGTGCGCGATGCGCAGGACACAAGAGCCCGCTTGATTTGGCAGGGCCGACCTACCAGTCAGCCCCGACTGTAAGCAGTACCTCATCCTCCGAGCCCTGCGCCACCGCGGGGCAGGGACCCCGGGCCTCCTGAAGGACATGCGGGGCGTCCAGCGCCTCGCGCAGGTCCGCCGGGCCCCTCCAGAGCCAGGAGCTTTCGGGGAGGATCGACGAGGAGGATCGAGGAGGAGAAGAAGAAGGAGGAGGAGGACAAAACGGTCCTCAGCTAGAAATCCCAAGGAGGAGGATCAGATGCGGATCGAGGAATGGACTCGAGGACGAGGAAGAGGACGAGGCCGCGGGCCTTCCGCAACAAACATCCGATGCGTGCAGGCCTGCGGAGCGGACCGCGCACCGATCGGACCGCGTTTTTGTTTCCCTCGGCGGGCGGGCGGCGGAAGCCCCGCGCGGGATCCAGCGGCTGCCCCGTGAGCGGGCAGCGGCCGCCCGTCCGCCGGTGCCACCTGCGGCGGGCGGCGACCACGGACCACGGACAACGACGACGACGACGGACGGACGGACGGACGGACGGACGGAGACGACGCCGACGCCGACGACGAACGATGACGACGGACGACGGACGAGGGACGACGGACGACGGACGACCGACGAAGGACGACCGACGACGACGACGCCGCCGCCGACGGATCTGGGCGTCGCCGTCCCACCAGCCCGTTAGGGTGTTGTTTAGGGCGTTTCCTCTTCCGATCCCCTTCTTCCCCTTCGGGGAGGGGTTTACCCCTGCCCTCCCCCCTCCCCCTGGGTCTGGACGGGGGGGCGGGTCGTTGGAGCGTCCGCGATGGCCCTGCGAGAAGGCAAGGATTTCCTCAACTATTGGGGCCCAGTTTGGCCTCCAGGGGGTGGGGAGCGATGCTGTTCTGTTAGGGCCCCAGGGCTCCCCCCTTCTTTGATCGATTCGCCACCGTTCCCTGAGGCACGAGTTGGAGCGTCGTCAGGTCCCGACGAGTTCTTTGCATTAAGAACACTGCGTGGCTTTAACAAGCCCACAGCCTGGACTGCTGGGCGCTCCCGAGCGCTCTTGGGCGCTACGGGGGGCTCCCCGCGTCTTTTTCTTGGTTCTCCAAATCGGCTTGCCCTATAGGAGTTCTAACTCAAACCCTACTAGTTGGGCCGTTGCCCCCTCCCCCTCCCTAATTCCTATTCCCCCCTTTTGCCAATAGCACCCTCCCTTATTTTCAATGGCCCCCCCCAGCTAGTTCCATTGGCGAGACCTATGGATTCCTATGGATTCATATGAATCGCTTGCTCTTGCTTGCTTGCTCTTGCGTGCTTGCTATCGCCTGCTTGCTCTTGCTTGCCCTTGCTTGCTTGCGCTCCTCCCGTCCTCCTCCCGTCCTGCTCCCGTCCTCCTTTCGTCCTCCTCTCATCAGCCTCTCGTCCTCTTCCTGTGCTCCTATCTATTTGGAGTCAACGCTGGCTGATATCTTTTGTTTTGCGTCCCTAGGAAGAAGTAATCTACGAATGCGTTCCCAGAGTGTGTGCTGGAGAGTACTGGCAAAAAGGAGCGGTAGGCATGAAGAGGAGACAGAGAACAGCTACTATGACAACTTAAGGGATGTAGGCACCAAGTGTGCACATGCAATGTGAGTCCCACTGTGAGAACGACCTAGCACTCGTCAGAGCCACTGGTGCCGCTCTCGCACATAGCATACATGGTGCGAGCAGGATGGAATCAGGAGCAGCGTCTGTAAAAAGCGCAGCAGACGACATGCACGGAGCTATATGTTCCCTCCCCCACGATCTGAACAAATCCTCAGCGAAGATCCGTACCCAGGAATGCATATAGCACCGTCCATGCCCCCCGTCTGACCGGGCTCACCTGATCACAAGGCCAGGTGCGAGCGGCAGCCCTACGGGAGGGACAATCAAAATCGGGCCACGTCCGGGCCCCTGCCCGGCGCGCACGTCCCACGTCTGCCGCACGCAGCCGTGTATGTCGGCCACGCACTTGGACTTGACCACGTTCCTGGACTTCCCCATGAGGCCGTTCTCGATCAGAATCCACATCGGAGCAGCCGAGCGCAAGTACTCCAGCAACTCGTGCTTGGTAAGAGCCCCAGCGTCCTCAGGATGGACTAGAGGCAACTCGGGATTCCGTGGCTCGGGTCTCCCACGGTACCAAGCTCCCGGCTCGATGTCGACACCGTACTGCAACAAATCAGCGTGAACGGCGTTATTTGGGTCATGCTGCAACGTACGGGAGATCTCTCTCATGGCGACCAGCAGGTTGGACGGCGAGCCCTTGGCGGTGAGTATACGCTCCTGCAGCTGTTGGACACGTTCTGTGATCGAGAGTGCACAACTCGTTCGACTAGTCATCCCTTGCATCAGTTCGCCACCTCGACCGATCAACGCGCTAGCCGAGGAGCTCGGGATCACCAGCTTGAGGGTCACGATGTTGTCGGTGTCGGTCCTCGAATGCCTCGCCAAGAACTCGATTTTCATCTCTAAGAATCTGCCGACCCCTTGGGGGTCATCGGCGTGCGAGATGTTCCCCCCTCCCCAAACCCCTCCTCCAGGAGCCCAGTCCAGTCGATTTGGAGGGGGGGGTCCCTGGGACGTTCCGAACGCATCATGGGGGGGGTAGGGGGCCCCAAAGCATGCCAAGAGGGCACCAGGAGGCTCTGTGGACGGTCCAATGAAAGATCATTCGATCACGCCCGCGCTGGCCTCGAGACTGCCAAAGATTCCCCCAAGACGCCCCAAGAAGCCCTCAAGAGGCGTCCCGAGACGGTCTCAAAAAGGAAACACAGCTCCATCTACATGGGAAAACGTGAATTTCCAGCACTTTCGCCTCTTCTGCGATCACAACGTCCAAGACAAGCCAAGAAGGGTCGCCTCAAGACGGCCAACGAGGTCCTCGAGAGAGCTCTCAGCCGACCCAGAAGGACCCCAAGACCGCTCGAGAAATGTTTCTAACAGGCCAAGGGGGCACCCAAAGGCCCTCTGGACGGTTCAATAGGACCACGCGCCGCCGAAAGATCGATCGAAAACGCCCACGCTGGCCTCCAGACGGCCCAGGAGGCCCCAGTGACGCTCCAAGGCTGGTTTCGCCGGCGGCTGGTTTCGCCGGCGCTGGTTTCGCCAGCGCTGGTTTCGCCGACGTGAGCCCTAACGGGCGGGTCGGGACGGGACGGGCGGTCGGGACATGAAAGTGTGGGGCACGCTCGACCGAGCACGCGCGAACCCTACGGGGCGGGTCGGGTCGGGCGGGCGGACCCTAGCAGGCGCGACGGGTCGGGTCGGGCGGGCGGACCCTAATAGGCGGGACGGGTCGGGCGGGCGGGACATTAAAGTGTGGAGCGCGGTCGACCGAGCACGCGCGACCCCTAACGGGCGGGTCGGTTGGGTCGGGCGGGCGGACCCTAGCGGGCGGGTCGGGTCGGGTCGGGCGGGCGGACCCTGACAGGCGGGACGGGTCGGGCGGGCGGGACATTAAAGTGTGGGGCACGCTCGACCGAGCACGCGCGAACCCTGACGGGCGGGTCGGGTCGGGCGGGCGGACCCTAGCAGGCGGGTCGGGTTGGGCAGTTTCGCCGACGGCAGCTGGTTTTGCCGACGGAGCTGGTTTCGCCGGGCAGCGAAACCAGTCTGGCGAAACCAGCCGTCGGCGAACCCAGCGGTCGCCGAACCGCAGAACGATCGATTGAAAACGCCTACGCTGGCTTCCAGACGGCCCAAGCGGCCCCCAGGACGACCCAAGAAGCTCCCAAGAGCCGTCCCAAGACGGCTTCACAAAGCAACGATCGCCCCATTCCCATGCGAAAACATGCATTTTCAACACATTCGCCTGTTGTGCGTTCGCAACGTCTAAGACTTCCTGGATCGCCCCAAGTCGGCCCAAGAGGCCTTCAAAAGGGTTCCCAGCAGGCCCAAGAGAGCCCAAGGCCGCGGAACAAAAAAAACCAAACGATCCAATGGGGGTTCCAGGACAGCCCCAAAATTTGGCCCCGAGGGGGAACCCGCACGAACATTTCGAGCTTTCGACCCCTAACCGCGCCCCGGCTGTCCCAAGAAACTCCCAACATGTTCCCTGGGAGCTCCGGGAGACCCGAAACAAGTTCCCAAGAACTCTCCAGGAGTGCTCCGAGAGGTTCGACAACTGTATCCCAACGCCCCCGAAACGCTTCCGACGGACCCCGTCTTTCATCCGCGGGGCCTCGTAACCGCAACCCGAGCAAGGTGGCGGGATGTGCCGACGGTAGTTCGACCCGCCCAAGACGGCCAATAATCAGCCAACGGTGCGTCGGAGGCATGAGAGCTTTCCTGTGCGCATTTCAAAGAGAGGTTACCGTCCCCAATCGGATCGACATCGCCTGAAGGCTGGTCCACGGGCGCCCCACTCTCGTCCCACCAGACCCGCCACACCTCGTATCCCCTTCAACCACCTTCCCGACAAACTTCTTCTGAACACCATCCCGGCCAAACTTTCATAACGAGTTTAGCTCCTGCGACGACGGTCTTCTCGCGGCCTACGCGAAACCAACAACGACGCCCGCAAACAACATCCGACCAGGCGGGTTCGGGAAACATGTTTTCCAAATCACTCCTGCCCCAGCTGGAGAAAGATTTGCCCCTGCTGCGTATTCGTAGACGCCCCCGCTCACTCGACCGACGGCGGACCCGAGTCAAAACCAATCCACCCAACCATTCCGGTCATCACGATACTCACAAGACAACGTGCATTTTGCGGCATGACCTGGATCATCTTCGGGCGTCCCGCCCTCACTGTGTTTTGGTTTGTTACACGGCGGCAGGGGGCATCATCAGAGTGAGGGGGCCGAACGGTCATTTACTGTCCCTGGGCGCGTGGCCGAAGTGAGGCTCTGGGGTGCGGATTGTTGTTTTTGCTGTTCGGTAAGGCGTTGCCACCGGCCCCGGCTTGTTGTTGAGATCTTTTTCTTCTCTCAAAACTGAAGTGCTTATCTTCAAGGGTAAGCAGAACTCCAGTGACCGAGGGCTTGCCGCACGGGGCCGGAGAAGGGGTTGGCACTGGGGCGGCAGCGCAAGGTCCCCCACGGGGCCAGAGAAGGAGTCGGCATTCCTGGCGCGTTTCCAGAAAGGTTTCCCCAGGATTTCCGCGAATCCGTTCGGATTCCTTTGCATTTCTGAGGACTCCTCCGGACTCTCCAGGATCTCCAAGGATTCCTGATGACCGCTCAGGATTCCTTGGGATTCGTCAGGAGCCATTCTCCAGGACTCCCGAAGATTCCTCAGGATCCTCCAGGCTTCCTCCGGCTCCTTCCGGAGTCCCCGGGGGGGTTCTCAGCATCCCCGAGGAATCCTTGGGATCCCAAATGATTCTTCAGGATCTCCCCATGGGGTTCTCAGGATTCCGTTGGGTTCCTCAGGACACTTCAAGGTCCCTCAGGATCTACCATGTCTCCTCAGGACGCGTACGGACTCTTTAGGATCCCCCACAATTTCCTCAGAATCCCCTCGG